CAAGATGTATATGGATTTGAAGAATCGATTTTGGTGGTCAGGGATGAAGCGAAGCATCATCGAATTTGTGTCTAAGTGTTTGATATGTCAACAAGTCAAAGCCGAGCATCAAGTTCCATCAGGATTATTGCAACCGCTTTTCATTCCTCAATGGAAATGGAAAAATGTTACGATGGATTTTGTTTCGGGGTTACCCTTGACTCCGAACAAAAGAGAATCAATCTGGGTAATTGTTGATCGATTAACTAAGTCAGCGCATTTCCTTCCGGTGAGAACGGATTTCTCTATGGAAAAGTATGCAGAGCTGTATATTAGAGAAGTTATTAGATTGCATGGAGTACCTGTTTCCATAGTCTCTGATCGAGACCCTCGATTCACTTCTAGATTCTGGAAATCTTTGCATGAAGCGTTGGGAACTCGTTTAAACTTTAGTACGGCTTTTCATCCTCATACTGATGGGCAATCAGAGAGAACTATTCAGATATTGGAAGATATGTTGAGAGCATGCGTAATGGAATTTAAAGGATCATGGGAAAAGTTTTTACCGCTGGCAGAGTTCGCTTACAACAATAGCTATCAGTCGAGTATTAAAATGGCTCCCTATGAAGCCCTTTATGGAAGGAAATGTCGTACGCCTTTGAACTGGTATGAGCTCAAAGATAAAGAAGTGCTTGGTCCTGAGTTGATTCAGGAAATAGAAGAAAAGGTCCTGATAATTCAGAGTAATCTCAAAGCTGCAGCAGACAGACAGAAATCATATGCAGATCTAAAAAGGAAAGAAATTGAATTTCAAGTTGGAGATAAAGTGTTTTTAAAAGTGTCTCCATGGAAGAAGGTGTTGAGATTTGGTCGAAAAGGAAAATTGAGTCCTCGGTTTATTGGACCATATGAGATTGTAAAGAGAGTATGACCTGTAGCATATCAGCTAGCTTTACCACTTGAGATGGAAAAGATACATGATGTCTTTCACGTTTCAATGCTTCGAAGATATCGATCGGATCCCTCCCATATCGTAAATCCAGAAGAGATCGAGGTACAACCGGATATGACTTATGAGGAAGAACCGATTCAAATTTTAGCACATGAAGTTAAGCAATTGAGGAACAAGACTATTCCTTTGGTCAAAGTGTTGTGGAGAAATCACAAAGTAGAAGAAGCAACATGGGAGCGTGAAGAAGATATGCGACATCAATACCCTCATTTGTTCGTGCAATGAAAATTCGAGGACGAATTTTCTTAAGGGGGAGAGATTTGTAACATCCTCCATGCCGGGTTAGTGATTAATTTGCAAAGTTTCAACAGTTGGTGATTAAAGTAGAATAATTATATAGTTTAAAAAGAATGGTTAGTAAATATGAAATGAATGTAAGGACCAAATGGTCATTTGTAAGGAAAAATTATAATTAAAAAAATGTTACGGGGTTATATTAGAACCCACGTGGGGCATTAGTATTCCAGAATCCTCTCATTTCTTCTTCCTTCTTTCTTATCTTCTTCTCTTCCTTCTCCAAACGTGGAGCTTGCAAGTAAAGGTAAGAATCTGAACCTTGGTAGTTTCTTTTGATTTTTAAGATTGGAAATGAAAGTTTGGATGTTATATAAGCTAAAGGAAAGCTTATATGACATTAAGAAAACAAGATAAGTGTTTTAGAGATAGATTTGGAAAATGAGTTTTTAGATGAAATTTTGATATGGATGAGTTTTTGAAGTTTGAATAAGATTTTTGACTTGTCAATAAGTTAATTAAGAAGTATGAGGTAATAGAATTGAAATTAGAACAAGTTGGAATTGGAGTAAGATTCTTCAATTCTATATGGATGAGTAGTTTTTTTTTAGTTTTAGAGGTATTGAATGGATAATAATTAGTTTAAGTGTATGAAAGCTAAGAGTATTAAAGGGAGTGAAATATGTATATTTGAGCTGAAAGGAGATGATTTTCGAGCTCAAAATAGGATTTTTGGGCTAGGGGAATCGGTACCCATTCAAGGGGAACCGATACCCCCTCAACGAATATGAATTTCCAGAATGCTAGAGGGGAATCGATACCCCCAGGGGGGGAACCGATTCCCCCATGAGAAAAAGAAAAGAAAAAGAAAGAAAGACTAAGCTATTAATTCCTTAAATTAGTAAGCTATTAAAGCTTAATTTCAAGACATAGACATCTGATGAGCATCTTGAAAATTATGTTTATGTAGATACCGAGCCTACACGAGTTCGGGAACAATCTACAAGTAGGATCGATCGAGGAAAAGGCAAAGAAATATAGGTGAGTGCATATGCATAGCATAATTATAGAAATATACTCCATTTTAGACTTGTGATAAGTCTAGATTTTATATCTTGGTACATGAGCATATTCTGTATTATGAGACATGACATGAGTTCATATAAAATGCATTATATGACATGAATATGTGGGAAAAGTTATGAGCTATGTGAAAAGGTAAGAATTTACATGTCTACGCGATATAGACTACGTGAAATGTAAAAGCCCATGTTATGTAGATGAGAACTATAGGTATAGTTGGCATGCCAAGGGTAGAGGGTCTACGCGGTCCTTCGGGACATATGTATATTCTTTGGAACATTTTTTTTTATAAGAATTACAGGCCTCATTAAAAACCCCATTCTTGACTAATGGAACTTTTGAGAAAGTTCCTTAATCAGTGAAGGGAGGAAAAGAGTGCCTTAGGATTTTATTTCTCAAGAGAACATAGTACATAAGAAACACCCCACAGACTGACTAATCACCATAAAAAATACAGACCAATTATCACAACCAGTCCGCCCCTATACAATAGCGAAACTACCACATCCCCTACAACCACAATAACCCAAAACCCCACTGAATGACCTCTAAAACTATGAAGTGTGATCAGCCAATCCCCTGTTTCGCTAAGGTATCAGCCTCACAATTACAATTCCTCGGAATATGTCTAATAATGAACGCCCTCTCCGAGATTAAGGACGCAATTTTTAGAACCAGTAACCTAAGGAAAGGAGGAGAAGAAATCGATTGTAAGATCCAATCCACCACTGTCTTACAATCACTCTCAATAATTAACCTTCCTTGAGTCGCCCATTCCGACGATAGAAAAAATTCAATGCCTTTCTCTATTGCTTTCATCTCAGCTAGTGGAGGAGGACCTGGACCAACAGCAAGTGAGAAAGACCCAAGGATTTTGCTTTCCGAGTCCCTTAAAATACCCCCCATTCCCCCTAACAGGCCATCCCCACTAACCGCCCCATCAACATTAACCTTAAAAAAATGTAGGGGAGGAGGAAGCCATTCCTGAACCTTCACCCTTTTATGGTGCCTTGTCTGGTGCTTGTCTGCAAGCGACGGGTCTCCAACAAGAGAATCAACCTGAATGAAATCATTTGGGTATTTAGCAAGGAACCACTTAACCAACCTAAATCTGCAAATGAAGAAAAGATTAGGTTTGTCCAGTTTCCCATCATCAAAAACCACCGAATTTCTAGCCTTCCATAGTGACCAAAGAACTACCCCCGGTATAAAGGCCCATATTAATGACTTTGGCCTTAAATCCGACCAGGAACACAACAAAGATGCTGGATCATTAGGTAAAATTGCCGAGACTCCCCATAACCTCCAGAAACTGCTCCATAAATCCCATGCAACCTGACACGAGATAAACAAATGCTGAACTGTTTCCTCTTGCTTAGCACATAACGGGCAAGACACCTCCTCCAACGTAACACCCCTTTTTATCAGCTCCGATCTGACTGCCAGTCTTCGATGGGAAACCTGCCATAGGAATGTTTCAACTCTCGGTGGGGCCAAACCTGACCAAACGAATTTCTTCCAAATGAGACTGCCCCCTGAGTTAGAAGAAAGTGTCAACCTGCAGGCTTTAGCCGTAAACAATCCATGACCCTTTTTCGACCATGCCAAAAAATCATCCACCGATTCCGATAGCCCAACATTCTCCAATAGTGTCATCAGTCGAATCCAGTGCTCCATCTCCCAGTCACAGATATTCCTTCTCATATGAATGTTCCAAATCCACTTATTGCCTATTGTACTTCCAAACTCTGAAACTTTTCCCCACTTATTGTTGGATAGAGCATATATTCTCGGAAATTGACTTTTTAAGGAGTCCTCATTTAGCCACACATCATGTGTGAGGTCTTGAAAGACACATACTTGATCCTTAGTATATGTATATGATTCTTAAGGAATTCTATGTGGTCCTTATGGACATCATTATATGGCACTACGGTGCAATTCTACGCGGTCCTTCGGGATATATATATATTCTGTGGAACATGTGTGAAGTCTTGGAAAGACACATACTTGATCCCTAGTATATGTATATGATTCTTAAGGAATTATATGTGGTCCTTATGGACATCATTATATGGCACTACGGTGAAATTCTACGCGGCACTTCGGTGCAATTATACGAGCTGTGGTGACAGCATAGTGCACAACCTCACATTACTCAGATACCTTAGGTTCTCAATATGCTATCATGGGCCAATAAACTTATTAATACAGATTCATGAATGTTACAGTCATACGCTTACAGGTATGGATATTGATGATGTATACTACATTGATTAAGTACATGTTTGCATCTCATCTCATATGATCATGACATTTTCATTACATCGCCTTGTTATTATTATTGCCTCACTAAGTCGATGACTTAGCGTGTGAGTGTTTCACACGTAGGATCCGAGAAAATAGACGAGACAGGTGAAGCAGCTTGACAGCATTACTCCTGCAACCACCAGATCAGAAGCAACTTAATCAGTAGGTCATTTTGTTATGTAAATGGCAGTTGGCATGTAATTAAAGGGTTAAGTTGTGTATGCTCTGAATATTTTAATAAACTTATATTACAATATGTATATTATCGTATTTTCTTAATATAAGTTCAAATATTTTACTATTATTTGTTAAGAGTTGTGTTTTAAAGTCAATGTAGTATCTCTGACTCATATCCGGGTCGGGTACGGGTTGGGGGTGTTACAAGAAACCTGTCCCAGTTTTCATCTTTAAGTGCCAGATCCTTCTCAAGTTCTTTCTTCATCATGAGAATCTGGATTACGGGAAGGGAAGCAAAAAGAAAGATGTGGTAAGATGCGGAAAAAACAGGAGATGGTATTGAAGGGATAAGCCAAGGGTGGCAAGCAGGGGCCTTGGCATTGTTTGGTTAAATGGTCCCATAGGACTTTTTGTCCCTTTCAATAATTAATAGTTCAATTCAATCCCTTTTAGCATCTTTGTTCCAAGGAAAATTTGCATTTTTAGAACCTCCGGAGACAATAATTCAATTTGTCATTTTTACACAATTTTTAGCTCCCTCCCCCCCCCCCCCAAAAAAACACTATATCAGCCCCCTACTCAAAATTCCTAGCTTCGTACTTGAATGTTCATACAATGTGAAAACACATCTAATATACATAATTTAAAGCAACACCAGTAAAACTAGCAAAGTTTTGTTTTTGGCACCTTGATATGGTATACAGGATGCATTTTATTCTCTATGCAGTCCTCCACAATCCGCCTGACTTGTTTTAATCCTTTAAATGAACCCATAGCTGCAACAGTGTTTCCCTATTCCATAATGTGGAAAATGAAAATAATTTCAGTTTTTGGTTCTCCATTTCAACATGGAGTAAAAAATGCAGTTTTTTTTTTGAAAGTAAAAAATGCAGTTCAACCACCCAAAAAAAATACAAGCAAGGTATGCAATTACCTGAACAAGAATGTAGCAGCCTGTCAATATTTCAAGTGCCTGCATTTGTAACGAAAGGGAGAATTAGACAAAAGAGTTTCAGGAGTTCATCGCAGCAAACCACTTCATAGTAATAGTATATACATGCCTCAACATAGCCTTTTTTCAGGGGATTATTTCAGAATCTTGTAAAGACATCAATAAGAATGCATACACACCTTCAAAGTCGAAGAATTCGGCCCCACGAGACGCTGCCTTCTTTTAACAAACCGTTCCCGTAAAAACACAATATTTAGATGACTTTATGAAAATTTTTAGATGCAAGTGCAACAATGTAACATCTTGTCATCTATCAAAACAGAAAATTGATTAACCAAATTACAGAGAAATAGAGAAATAAAAATACCAAAAACTGTCTCCTTGGTGTAGGAAGTAACATACAAATTCAAATATAAAAACTAAAAAGGACACAATCCAAATAACCCGCCTTAATGACTGGTAACTAAGGAACACTAACATATAAGCAGATATAATGTTCCACTTCAAAAACACTATAGCATTTCCACGAGTACAACAGATTGAATGAGAAATAGACGTCCAGCATGCATAGACGATAAAGCCTACGGAATATAATTAGCAGTTTCGGGTTTCAGTATGCTGCTAACAAACAATTCACAATAGCTGGATCAAAGATAACATAATTGAACCTATGTAGAAGACTAGTGACAAAAGGCATAGATATGTACTTGTATACCTACATACAAATATTTGCATATATTGTAACTTCTACTGAATGAATAAGAGAAACAGAGATGAATAGAAAACATCAAAAAAAAGTTTCAGATCATAGGATCCATATTGGAATATAACAAAAACAGAGAGGACTCCGATTTGCATAGCCCAGACAGCCATCAAAAGATGAACAAAAAGAAAGAAAGAAAGAAAGAAAGATCTTACATCAAATTTAATTAAGATATATAGAACGTGTAAAACTAAAATGGAATAAGTAAAAAGTAGATATTTGCCCTTACATTACAAGATTTCAGTATCAAAAGAAAACTTACAACAGTAATTGATGTGGGTGAACTCAGTAATTGTCGGCTTAGCTGTGGGTTTAATTTCGGTAGCTTTCAGCTCAACTGTGGGTGGAGAAACCCAGCAAGCAATGCAAGGGAGGCGCGGCTTTGGGCGGAGGAGCGGCCGGCAAGGGGAGGGGACTGGGAGATGTTGTCGAGCTGACGGCTATATGTTGCTTCAATCCTCCGTATCCAGCTTTTTCTTTTAGGATGCGTTTGGTTCACGGAATGTAAGATGTTTGGTTCACGGAATGTAAGATTACCAGTGGGAATAAAAGATTACCAGGGAATAGGATTACTGGGAATGTTGTATTTTGTGTTTGGTTGGTTTAGCAGGAATGTAAGATTACCGTGTTTGGTCAAAGGAATAAAAGATTATTAGAATGTATATTTGATCAAATTGTCCTTATTATATATTTGTATAATATTACAAATTGTAAAATATTTATATATTTTCTTTAAAAAATTAAATTCATAATATTTATATAATTTTTTTACAAAATTAAAAATATAAAAAATGTTTAATGAAAGGGTAAAAAAAATTTAACCCCTAAACTTCATATAAAATTTTAATTATAGATTTTTTTTGTAAATCTAAAATAATTTAAGGATAAATTTGTAATTTAACCTTCGTAGAATTTTTATTATTCAATGACAGAAGAATGATATTTTTGAAAAAAATAAAAATTTAAGGGTATTTTAGTCCAAAACGCCGGTAATGTTACAATACCTAAGGGAATGGAGGTAATGACATTCCCGGTAATATACCCCAAAAAATCTACTATTGGTAATAAAACATTACCGGGAATGAGATTCCCGGCCAACCAAACATGGGAATGTGAAATTTCCATCCCATGGGAATCCCACATTCCTTGAACCAAACACCCCCTTAGGGTTTAGCTTTAGTTTTGGTATTTTATTTTAGGCTAAATTTCATAATAGGCCCTCGAATTAGAATACTCGTTTAAATACGCCCCTCGTGCTTCTTTCGTAGCTAAATAAAATCCCATAAATTTGCTTTAAAAAAATAAATAAATTAAGTAATTTTTATTTCTTTTATACACGTCACAATTTCATTGCATTATAAAAATGTAATCTAAATTCTTATCTAAGTGAGTGTGTTTAACGGTGGCCGTAATTTTTGGGGATTATTTGATTGTTACTTTTTATAAAAAGGCCTATTTCAAAGTGGATAAATTACATGTTTACTCATTAAATTTTAGTCTCTTTCTTATTTTATTTATCGTATTTTAAATTTTTTAAATTTGTTCATCAAATTTTAGTCATTGAATTTTTTTGATCACTCGACTGTTTACTTAGTGATAGCAAGATGATGTGGCTTTTTTTATTAATATATAATGATTATATGTTATTTGACATATCAACTACAAATTGAATTTATGTTAATCTTTTTGTCAAATGAAACCTTTCTATTATTAGGATTGACCAAAGACTGTTTCGTTCATTGAAAACTTACCCATAGTGAGTTAGACGGATATCCTTTTTTATTCTCCTTTTTTAATATTCTTGTCTATTTTTTTTTATTGTTTGTTGCTATTGGTGGTTGTGGATGAGGATGTGGATGGTAACCAAATGAAATTGGTGATGGTGGCTCGATTTTTAGTTGGTCTAATTGTGGATCATGATTATGATGTTTGAAAGTTGGATGAAATGATGGTCATGAACGGTTTGCTAACCTTGGGAATATGATGAAGCTCTTAAGTGACCTCAATGAACTCATATGTCAATTTAGAAGAAATCTTTTTAAAAAATTAGAAGAAAAATATTATGTGTCATCAACTTTTTATAATGGAAAATTGGAAATTGAAGATAGTGGCCTCAATGAACTCAAATGAATAGTTTAGTAATTATATTGCAAATTTTAAAGGTTTGATGACAAAAATATAAGCGTTTTATAAGTTCAAGGTCCAGTTATGTAGTTTATACAAAAAGAAGATTACTCTTGGAAAGCGCTAACACGATAGTTAGCTGTATATGCAATTATGCATTACATGGTCAAATCAAACTATCCCAATTTTATATTAAAAACAAAAAGCAAATTCACACAGTCTTCACAACTCACGACTACTCAGAGGACAAAACCGTTAAGCAAAAAAGGAAGAGCAATGATTGGAGGATTTCAATGAAGAGCAAAAGAAGGAAACAAAAGAAGAAGCACAGAAAGATTATGAACTAAAGATGGGTTTGTATGAAGACAATCTAAAGGGGTTCATTTTAGCATTGTTGTCTAGTGTTTTCATTGGAGCAAGTTTTATCATAAAAAAGAAAGGCCTTAGAAGAGCTGCTGCTGTTTCGGGTGTTAGAGCTGGTCTGTCTTCTTTTTGGGGTTTATATCTTATTTTATACTTTGGGTTTTCCATGTATGACTTTGATCTTTTTTCCTTGGGTTTTGCAGGTTATGGCGGATATGCATATCTTTTGGAGCCTTTGTGGTGGTTGGGCATGTTCACTAGTATGTTGGGATCTTGTTTTTGCCTCTCTCCCTCTTATGAATTATGATTAGTACGATGTGTAATTCAATTTTCAAATTAGCTTTGTTGCTATAAAAAATTTCCATCCTTTTGATCGATTATGTATAATTTTTCATGTCAAAGGTGAATGAGTTTCTGTTGTTATTTTCTGTGATTCTTTAACTTTGTTGAATATTGTTGCTTAAACTCAGGTTGAGTAGATTTCTCTTTATACCAGGAAATTTATCCTTATAAATAGATACTAAGTATTGGAGTTTAGAAGTTGATTAAACCTTAAATAACGTTTAGGCGCAAATCTTCTTGTACTCTTTTTCGACGTTGTGAATTTTCTCTTGTGCCCGTGGTTTTCCCCCGGAAGGGTTTTTCCAATCTTAGTGTTCTTTTTTTTGCAATTGTTTTTCATTCGTTATTATCGTACTTACATTATTACATTCAGATGTTGTTATTGTAGGTCCTTAAATACTTGCTTTGGTTGCATACAGTGATTAGAAACCTGTTGTTTATACGCTTCTAACAACAGATGCAGTGATAATGTAGGAAATATCTTGAAGCAGCTAATTGTTGTCTCAAACTGATTCTTTGCAGAATACCCTTTTTTTTTGTTTGATGTTTTGATGCAGTGATTGTTGGAGAGGTAGCAAACTTCATCGCATATGCATTCGCTCCCGCGATTCTCGTTACTCCTTTAGGTGCATTAAGCATTATTGTAAGGTAATATGTCCTGCTACTTCAGATGGTACTTCTAGCATCATTTAATGGTCATATGATTTTTTTTTTCAATTTCATCATCTCTCAACTTTCGGTGCTCTGAATTATGTGCATCAGTGCTGTCTTGGCTCACTTCATGTTGAAGGAGAAGTTACACCAGCTAGGGGTTTTAGGCTGTGTTATGTGTATCTCGGGTTCGGTTGTAATTGTTATCCATGCACCACAAGAGAGCCCCATCACTTCTGTTCAGGAGATATGGATTATGGCTACACAACCAGGTTCGTTTTCGCTGTCGATCAATTGTCTCTGTTATCACATTTCTCTGTGATTTTAATAGTCAAATGACACTTTTTCCTTGTTATTGCAGCTTTTTTACTGTATCTGGGCTCAGTTATTGTATTGGTCATCCTTTTGATCTTATATTTTGCACCAAGATGTGGGCATACAAATGTGTTGGTTTTCACAGGCATTTGTTCATTGATGGGATCTCTCTCGGTATGTCGTTTCAACTATGGATTATATGGTACATTGTAACAAGATGTGAGCTTATGAGTTTTTCATATGCTGGTCTACTTCGATAATATCGTGTTCAAAAACCGGAACTCTGTAATTTGTAATATTTTCTTTTCCTAACAGTTATCTATATGTTATCTTATCTTATGAATACATAATATCTGCAGGTGATGAGTGTTAAAGCCCTTGGAACTGCACTCAAACTTACCTTTGAGGGAAGAAACCAACTAGTCTACCCGGAGACGTGGTTCTTCGTGTTCATTGTCGCTACTTGTGTCATTGCTCAAATGAACTATCTCAACAAGGTAGATTTCTGCAGTGTTTTTATGATAAACTTTGATATCTAACATCTTGTTGTTTAATTTCTCTCGGTGATGGCAGTCTTTCCTTGGTGAGTATGGTGCTTTTAAGTTTTAACCTTTATATTAACAGTAAACTATCATTTTCAAGGATGCTTCAGGTTCAAATCTGTCTCAAATAAGCCTCGGATATGAGTCGACACTATGGACTCTTTAAATTTCGAGTAAATACTTATTGCACTGAAAAATATTCTGTTGTTTCAGGCACTCGATACGTTCAACACTGCAGTTGTGTCCCCTATTTATTATGTAATGTTCACATCGCTTACGATCCTCGCCAGTGTCATTATGTTTAAGGTACTGTTTCATCAATCATTGATAGCTCTTGCTAAAATTGTTATTACCTTCGCCTTGCGGAAATTACTACGGTAGCCTGTAAACTTAGGCTCGGTCGGACGAATTACTCCGGTAGTAAAACGCATCTTCTGTGCTTGAAGATGAACCAAATTTAGTAGAACAGAGTACTACATTATGTCCCATTTTGAACCAATACTTGTGGAAACATATTTTCATCTGAGGTCTTCTGCTTTGGGTAAATCATTAATCCAAAATACGTATAACACATGAATTATAAACATATTTTCAGGATTGGGATGGTCAAGACACGGGAAGCGTCGTATCTGAACTGTGCGGCCTCATTGCTTGTGCTTTGTGGTACCATTGTGTTAAACTCGACCAAAGACTCTGATAGAGGTTCTACCTTCAGAGGTGAGTAAATTTCATTTCCTGTTATCTCCGGTCTATATCCGTCTTCGGGTTAAAATCGACATTACGTTTAAATAACTGCAGGTGGCCACACACCTCTATCTCCCACA